ATCCGTGTCTTAATTCGTTCGTATTTAAACTTTTTTTTTAAATTGCGGACTTCATGTCCGCCACCTTGGATTGCTTTCACTGCTGCGTAAGACAAGCGTGAGGAGGCAGTGCAAACCCCACGTAACACCGGCAACCCTGATTGGTCGATTAAAAAATAATCTGCTGAAGGAGTTGGCTAGGGCCTCGATCCCAGACCCATGTGGTTCAGCCAGACGCCTCTGGTGGAGCATGGCGGAACTACAAGGGTCTTGCGAGAGCCAAGCTACTGGGAGAGCACTGCACGATTGAAGAAGGGGAAAGATATTATGAGATGAAATCCCGCCAAAAGGAAGGTGCCGGCACCTTGGAAATTGCTTGCCAGGGAATAAGGCCGTGACTGATTTATACCATAGTCCTGTCAACTGCTAAATACTAGGACAGAAAACAAAAATGCTGATTCAATATTGATGCTCATTATATTTAAGGTGGGGTAGCAAATCATCTGAGTTTCCATAAATAACACCAGAGTCACTATTTTATGCCTCATGGTGCTTTCAGACCAAAAATGCTGAAACGCTGAAGCCCCGCTCACCAGACGCGCATTCTCTATTTTTCAGACGCGGGGGTCTTCACACCGAGATGTCTTGACGCACACTGGAAGTGCTCTGATGCTAACAGAGCTATGCTAGCGGCTTCTTGTGTACAGATCTTCTCCAATATGCAGCTTTGCAGCGAGTCTTTGCTCAGACATTCCACGGGCTTTATATAACAGCAGTATGTGTTCACGGAGGTGACTTTATATAACAGCAGTATGTGTTCACGGAGGTGACTTTATATAACAGCAGTATGTGTTCACGGAGGTGACTTTATATAACAGCAGTATGTGTTCACGGAGGTGACTTTATATAACAGCAGTATGTGTTCACGGAGGTGACTTTATATAACAGCAGTATGTGTTCACGGAGGTGACTTTATATAACAGCAGTATGTGTTCACGGAGGTGACTTTATATAACAGCAGTATGTGTTCACGGAGGTGACTTTATATAACAGCAGTATGTGTTCACGGAGGTGACTTTATATAACAGAGTATGTGTTCACGGAGGTGACTTTATATAACAGCAGTATGTGTTCACGGAGGTGACTTTATATAACAGCAGTATGTGTTCACGGAGGTGACTTTATATAACAGCAGTATGTGTTCACGGAGGTGACTTTATATAACAGCAGTATGTGTTCACAGAGGTGACTTTATATAACAGCAGTATGTGTTCACGGAGGTGACTTTATATAACAGCAGTATGTGTTCACGGAGGTGACTTTATATAACAGCAGTATGTGTTCACGGAGGTGACTTTAAACAGTAGTATGTGTTCACGGAGGTGACTTTATATAACAGCAGTATGTGTTCACGGAGGTGACTTTATATAACAGTAGTATGTGTTCATGGAGGTGACTTTATATAACAGTAGTATGTGTTCACGGAGGTGACTTTATATAACAGCAGTATGTGTTCATGGAGGTGACTTTATATAACAGCAGTATGTGTTCACGGAGGTGACTTTATATAACAGCAGTATGTGTTCACGGAGGTGACTTTATATAACAGCAGTATGTGTTCACGGAGGTGACTTTATATAACAGCAGTATGTGTTCACGGAGGTGACTTTATATAACAGCAGTATGTGTTCACGGAGGTGACTTTATATAACAGCAGTATGTGTTCATGGAGGTGACTTTATATAACAGTAGTATGTGTTCACGGAGGTGACTTTATATAACAGCAGTATGTGTTCACGGAGGTGACTTTATATAACAGCAGTATGTGTTCACGGAGGTGACTTTATATAACAGTAGTATGTGTTCACGGAGGTGACTTTATATAACAGTAGTATGTGTTCACGGAGGTGACTTTATATAACAGTAGTATGTGTTCACGGAGGTGACTTTATATAACAGCAGTATGTGTTCACAGAGGTGACTTTATATAACAGCAGTATGTGTTCATGGAGGTGACTTTATATAACAGCAGTATGTGTTCACGGAGGTGACTTTATATAACAGCAGTATGTGTTCACGGAGGTGACTTTATATAACAGTAGTATGTGTTCATGGAGGTGACTTTATATAACAGCAGTATGTGTTCACGGAGGTGACTTTATATAACAGCAGTATGTGTTCAAGGAGGTGACTTTATATAACAGCAGTATGTGTTCACGGAGGTGACTTTATATAACAGCAGTATGTGTTCACAGGTGACTTTATATAACAGCAGTATGTGTTCACGGAGGTGACTTTATATAACAGCAGTATGTGTTCACGGAGGTGACTTTATATAACAGCAGTATGTGTTCACGGTGACTTTATATAACAGCAGTATGTGTTCACGGAGGTGACTTTATATAACAGTAGTATGTGTTCATGGAGGTGACTTTATATAACAGTAGTATGTGTTCACGGAGGTGACTTTATATAACAGTAGTATGTGTTCACGGAGGTGACTTTATATAACAGTAGTATGTGTTCATGGAGGTGACTTTATATAACAGCAGTATGTGTTCACGGAGGTGACTTTATATAACAGCAGTATGTGTTCATGGAGGTGACTTTATATAACAGTAGTATGTGTTCACGGAGGTGACTTTATATAACAGTAGTATGTGTTCACGGAGGTGACTTTATATAACAGCAGTATGTGTTTCACGGAGGTGACTTTATATAACAGCAGTATGTGTTCACAGAGGTGACTTTATATAACAGCAGTATGTGTTCACGGAGGTGACTTTATATAACAGCAGTATGTGTTCACGGAGGTGACTTTATATAACAGCAGTATGTGTTCATGGAGGTGACTTTATATAACAGCAGTATGTGTTCACAGGTGACTTTATATAACAGCAGTATGTGTTCACGGAGGTGACTTTATATAACAGCAGTATGTGTTCACGGAGGTGACTTTATATAACAGCAGTATGTGTTCACGGAGGTGACTTTATATAACAGCAGTATGTGTTCACGGAGGTGACTTTATATAACAGCAGTATGTGTTCACAGAGGTGACTTTATATAACAGTAGTATGTGTTCATGGAGGTGACTTTATATAACAGCAGTATGTGTTCACGGAGGTGACTTTATATAACAGCAGTATGTGTTCACGGAGGTGACTTTATATAACAGCAGTATGTGTTCACGGAGGTGACTTTATATAACAGTAGTATGTGTTCATGGAGGTGACTTTATATAACAGCAGTATGTGTTCACGGAGGTGACTTTATATAACAGCAGTATGTGTTCACGGAGGTGACTTTATATAACAGCAGTATGTGTTCACGGAGGTGACTTTATATAACAGCAGTATGTGTTCACGGAGGTGACTTTATATAACAGCAGTATGTGTTCACGGAGGTGACTTTATATAACAGTAGTATGTGTTCACGGAGGTGACTTTATATAACAGTAGTATGTGTTCATGGAGGTGACTTTATATAACAGTAGTATGTGTTCACGGAGGTGACTTTATATAACAGTAGTATGTGTTCACGGAGGTGACTTTATATAACAGTAGTATGAACACACTTGAAGCCGTTGCATAAAGTCACAGGAGCATGACAACACATATTTTCACAAGCACAGAGTCCCCCATTGTCAGCCCTGGTTTGAGTTCTGGTGAAGTCTGGTGTGGGTCCTGTTTTGGATGTTTACGAGTATTTTCAGTCTGCTCGCTCAGTCCGCTAATGTCCCCGTGACCACTTTGCTGCTCTCTGATTGGTTGTCGCACGAACGTCCCAAGGAAAGGATGAGCAGAATCCATCTCCTGTGGGCGTTGATTTTTCGCTCCTGCTCCTCCCTTTTTACTTTCCTGCAAGTCTGTGTGTCTCTACAGAACAGTCCGTTCGTGCGAACCAAGAGGTCCGTGCGTTGTGACGCTCGAACGCTCGTCACCATAGACTTTGCATTGAAACCCGACGCAGCATGATCCGGTCTGAAAGACCCATTAGGCTGAAATCTGATTGGCCAATAAGGGCGGTCCTCTCTTTTCACTTTTCTGAGTGAAAAGTCAGATTTAAAGAGGCAAAAAAACTTTGTGTAAAATCTAGTGATAGAACCAAACTGAACCAAACCAAGTGAAAAGGGATTAGGTATCCCAGCTTAAAGGAACCATGGGATTTTTAATTAAAATTACATTATCTCAGTCAAGATCATATTTGATTTTCTTGACTTTTCTGAACAAAATTAAAAATATGATGATGTTGGTAATATTTATGTATACGTGCCAGAGACGCAAACCGCGAGAAGCTACCATAGTCCTACCATAGTCCTATCATAGTCCTACCATAGACCTACCATAGTCCTATCATAGTCCTACCATGGTCCTATCATAGTTCTACCATAGACCTACCATAGTCCTATCATAGTCCTACCATGGTCCTATCATAGTTCTACCATAGTTCTACCATAGTCCTACCATAGTCCTATCATAGTCCTACCATAGTCCTATCATAGTCCTACCATAGTCCTACCATAGTCCTATCATAGTCCTATCATAGTCCTATCATAGTCCTACCATAGTCCTACCATAGTCCTATCATAGTCCTATCATAGTCCTATCATAGTCCTACCATAGTCCTATCATAGTCCTACCATAGTCCTACCATAGTCCTATCATAGTCCTATCATAGTCCTATCATAGTCCTACCATAGTCCTATCATAGTCCTACCATAGTCCTACCATAGTCCTATCATAGTCCTAAGTTCTTGTTAGCGTTTATTGGCAAACATCTTAGTAGAATTAAAAGATCCCACCCATACATCTCCCTCTATACCACTTTTTAATTTTAAGATGTCACAGTAGGTAAACATTGGATAATACTAACCTTCTTCATCTCTCGTCTTCGTCGTAGGCAGTCTTTCCTGATATAACCAGTGGATTTCTCTTATGTAACATGACTTCCCGGCTGTGTGACCTACGCCGCAGAAAGCTTATCTCCTGCCACAGATTTCTATCGTCCTTTATCAAAGCTCAGCAGATGGAGCTGTGCCCAGAGCCAGGGGCACAAACACCTCTGCTCTGGACGGGACGCAACGATACGTGTCAGTGTGAGGTGAGGTGACAGTCACAGATCACAAGCATTAATATGAAAGCAGAGCCCCAACTCGCCTCAAGTCCCAGTTTTCATTTTAATGGGTGATATTTCAACTTTTCCACCGTTTATGCATTATGTATGTAGCCTTTGGGTTGAACATGGGACAGTGGAACACCAGGGTAATGTTTTAAGTCGATTGGGATTAGTGATGCATGAGCGTGTGGAAAGGGGGATGAGACACTGCCCTAACTTTTGTGCTCAATATATTATGATTTAAACTTTATTTTACTGTATGAATAATAACAAACAAAAGAAAGTTAGTTAATAGTAATTGGGTACTAGGATTGGCTACCGTCTCTTCTAATATGGAATGCTCCCGTACTTTAGAAAAACTATGTGCTTCCTGTACTGAATCGATAAGTACGGCTTTGTTTTTATTCATTTGATTGGTTTAAGCATCTACCTTTTGGCCAATCAGTGTCAAAGGGGGCGTAGGCTTGATCACATCTATGGGCTTTATGTTGACAAGCGCCAGCGTGGCCCGCACCCGCAGCATCATCACGGCAGAGGCACGACCATCAGAATGTTTGACAGACTCAGAATCAGAGAGCCCGTGGCCCCGTCCCAAATCGCGCACTTGCGCACTACACACTTTGAGAAGTGCGCACTTTTTGAAAGTGCACATAAGTGTACAAGTGTGCAAGTGCACAGTGCGCAAGAACTGCAGAATTGGGACGGTTGAGTATACGTCATCAATGTGCCTCAGGACGCAGTCGTTTGGCGTCATTCAAGATGGCGGAGCCGGTGGTTGTTTTGGCGAATTTGCTGCTCCAAAATATGCAGAAACTCCAGCAAATTTGTTTTTTGAGACGGAGAAGGCGCAGACAACGCAGGAGGTTCATCCGCCAGGCTCTTGCCTTTGCGCAGGAGTCTGAATTGGTACGTTAATTTACTTAATACAGTAGTAAGACCGTTATTTTTAGTTTTCTGCTAATGTGCTAGCGCCAGGAATAGGCTAAAGTGCAACGTTTTCTAACGATGCAAACGTTAGAAAACAATGGCATTTACAACACAGCTATCATGCTCTCAGAGTTAATTGTTCAGCAGTTTCTCAAAGCGCTACTTCTTATTATTATTCAGAATCGGAACTGTGTTTAGAATTTTGATTTCAGACTGTTTCCATCAAGTGAAATGAAACCGGCTGATAATCAGGCTAGTAACATAGTTTACTCCTCTCAATTAAGTTGAAATAGATAACACAAAATCTGCAAAATTATGTATTATTGGGCTCTGCATCAAATACGTTTAAAACACATTCTAATGCAAGTTTTCAGTGGTCAATAATAATCAATAATCAATAATAATAAACAAACACTTCTACTGCTGCAGCTGTCAACAATATTCTCCTAAAAAGCATTGCTTTACCAGATTATTATTTGATAGTGATTCCATTCATATTATTCTGAAAGTAATTTTGAATTTGATTGTGATCATAATAGTGCTGCTGCCGATTGACTGTAACTGTGATCTTGATCAGGACAATAATTTTGTTCTATTTTATGCACGTTTTCATCAGAATGGAGGAATGCTGACCTACACCAGGCTGAACCAGACCATGCCTGTTCTGCAGGTCTACTTTGATGTGGAGCAAGAGCTTCAACCTCACTACCGCCTCACCAGAAATTCAATGAATGGCCTGATGAATTTGTTGAAGACCGATAAAGATCATGGCTGGGGGTTTCCATTGGAGATCCTCATATTTGTGTATTGGCTTGCACACGGGATTTCCTTTAGAGTTGCTGCCATGGCCTTTTCTGTCCCGAAGTCGACCGTCTGTCGTGTTGTCCATAAGATTGCTGAATTGATTGTAAAGAATGCACATCGAGTAATATGCTACCCACCACAGGAAGCGTTGGAGGACACTGGTAGAGGTTTTGCCCGTTTAGCCAGGCACAGGGCATTTGAAAAGGCTGTAGGTGCAGTAGACGGCTGTCACATTAGAATTAAGCCTCCAGGTGACAACAAAGCGGACTATTTCAACTACAAACAGTTCTACTCCATACAGATGCAGGCAATTTGTGATTCAAGTGGCAGATTCTTGAACATATTTGCTGGATTCCCTGGCTCGGTACACGACACCTGCGTATTGAAGAATAGCCCAGTCTACGTCAGAGCAGAGTACCCTCCACAAGGTTATTTTATTTTGGGTGATGGTGGCTATCCTTGCATTCAACAACCCATTACCATCATCACCCCTACAAGATGCCTCTTCACAACCGGGTTGAGGAACGGTTCAACTATTGTCATTCACGTGCCTGGTCAATCGTTGAAAGAGCCTTCGGCATGATGAAGACCCGCTGGAGAACCACAATGTTTAAGGCGTTGGAGGTGAAGATAACCTTTTGCACTCAGGTCGTGACTGCCTGTGCTTTTCTTCACAATGTTTGTCTCACTCACGGAGATGTCCTGGAACCGGATCGGGATGATGACCAGCCACCACCACCACCGATGCCCCCAGGAGATGCAGGACAATCAGATGCAAGAGGAATCAGGTTGAGGGAGCGACTTTCTGCTCAAGTGTCTGCTCCTGTTGTTGCACAGGGTTATCTCATGGAGCATGACTATATTTAGTGTAATTATGGACATTTGTACAGTGCTTTTATACAATGTTCTTTGTTGAAATATTCTCCATTTTGAATTTTGCCCTTTTTGATGAAAGTTCAGTATTTTTTTACTATGTTTTTTAAGTAATTAATTTGTTTATTTATGAAGACATGTTGTTTTAATGTTTATCTGTGAGAGTTCATCTGCCACTTTGTCACTGAGGACCTTTTTTTGTCTATGTAACTGGAGTCACAGTCATCTTATCAGAGGCTGTTCTTATATTTGACCAAAAATGTATTTTTCAATCTTTTTCTTTTGATTATTATCCAATCTCTTTGACATGTCTATGTTTGCATAAAAATGTCTTACAGTAAATTTTATTTTTGAAGTCTGATTACTAATTGACACTACGCTGTGAGTGAATACTGACTTCCCATTAACTGCCAGCTCTTGATATTTGTGTATAATGTACAAAAATGTTAAGAGTGTGTACAAAATGAGCAATAAACTGTTGTACAACCCAATGTTTGAGTTAATCAATGGATTAAAAAAGTCTACAAAGTACACGACACATCAGGACCAAGCCATCATTATAAATGAAGCAAAACAATCAAAATTGAAATAGAGAACTGTTAAGCGACAACATGATTACCAAGACAAGGACAATATATAGAAAAACAGGTTTAATTTTGAAAATACAGAACACATGAAAAACAAACATTTGGTTTAAAGTGCAATTACTAAGTCTGATCAAATAATTTTGTGAATAAAAAAGTAGTCATGTCAAGTTTTAGTCAGGTGGTCCACTAATTTTCCAAACAAAGTCAACATTTGCTCCATCTGCCCCTGGGCCTGCTGCATCCATGCTCTGTCCTGCTCATCTTCTTCCTTCTGCCTCTTTTCAATGCTCTCACACCACTGATGAAGACTCTCTGCTGCACTTTCTGTTTCTTTCCTCTTCCTTTTCCCTGATCTTTTCCTTCCTACTGCTGAGCTGGTCCCTTCTCCTGCTGTAAAAACTGATTCCTCCTCCTCCTCCTCCACTTCCTTCTCCTCTCCTCCTGCATCCTCACTCTGGGTAGGGCTGACCGCTGCACTTTTTGGCCCTGAAGAGTACAGGCTAACTGGCCTTACTGACGGCCTCTGGCCAATGGCTTCATGCATGGCAGCATAAAAAAGCCAATTGGCCGCCGTCACCTCTCCTTCCTCTGTCCCTGAACCAGTCTTTGGCAGTGACAAGTCCTAACATATTACATATGAACAAATACATGTTACCTGTATACATTACATGGGTTCCTCAATTTAATTACCTTGTACTTTTTTTAAAGATTTTCCCACTTTTTTTTGCATTGCTGAGCAGTGACCTTTCCTGTCAAATCCATCAAGTTGATGATCTCCCTTCAAGAAACAAAGAGTAATTAAAGTATTAATAATGTGTTAAATACTTTAACCAGTACACACATACATTTTGCATAGTTACTTTGGTAAAATGTAACATGTAAAGGAACACAATACTTTATGCCCAGTATCTCATCTTTTTGTCAAATTCTAACACATTTACAGCTTTTAAGGCCTTACATTTGGTGTCAAATCAAATTCAATGAGAGCCTTGGGGGGTGTCCTGTTTACAGAAGTGATTAACGTTACTCGTAGCCCTGCGTTGCTGCATTCCTGTAGCCAGTAAAAAGGGTTTCCTTTTCTGCCCTAATCCGGATGAATGTGAACGTAAGTTCGTCTGTCCCTGGGAAAAAAATGTAAAACGTTAAAAGAAAGGCAACGTTTAAAAGAACGTCCCGTTATGCTACGGAAGTAACGTTACGATAAGTTTAATTGTACTTTATTTTAACGTCCATTCCCGAATCACCGCACAAACCTAAGCTGTTATATCACACATGTAATACAATGCTGAAGAAAAAATGTATGTACTCACACTTAAATGTGCACTTCTTTGGGCCTGAAGTGCCGCACTCTGAAGCTCCGACTCTCGCCATGTCCTCTGTTGTGGCAGTGACGTCACGACCGCAAGAAATGTGGGTAATATATCAGCCTAGCCTTCAGCCGTAGGGTGGACGGTTGAAAGTGCGCATCGGGAGTATTGGGACACACTACGCACTTAGCAACCCCGCGGGAACGCGCTTTTGAAGTGCGCCAAGTGCGCGATTTGGGACGGGGCCCATGTCGTTCAACACAGAAAGGTTCAAGAAAGAAACTACAGTGACTAGAGAGGGCAGCACAACACGCGTAGGTAGAGAGTGTGAATGGCAACGGTTACCAAGCCAACTGTAGTTTTAGCCGTCTTGTGTTGTGCAGCAGGAGGAGCAACAGGAGGAGTAACAGCAGCAGCAGAAGGAGCAACAGGAGGAGTAACAGCAGCAGCAGAAGGAGGAGCAGCAGCAGGAGTAACAGCAGCAGGAGTAACAGTAGCATCCACCCCCACGAACAGACAGGCTGTAGACCCAGGACTGAGGCTGTATACCCAGGCCTGAGGCTGTAGAGTTGAGAGGCAGGTGCAGGCAGGTGCAGGCAGCTCTGGACGCTTCGGTCCCAAGACAAACATACTTTATCAGAACATTTGGACCTATTTTGTTGTTATTTTGCAATATAACAACAAGCTGGACTCGTAAGCTGACAAGCACACATGCAGTAGAGCGGCTTCATAGTAAATCTGAAGACTTCAGTGTCATTATGTCAATATGCTAAAGCTAAAGGATGCTAAAGCTAGGTACTAGCACCACGAGTGCACCACGTCATGAGCTTTTATTAAACCTACACAGACATGGAAAGCGACACTGCAATAACCACAAACCCTATAAACGACATTAGTCGCCTCACATTGGAGTTTCGTGAGAGGGACCGTGCCACTATTGCAGACCTCCGTAAAGAAGTCCTTCGCCTCACTGCAGAGCTACAGGAAAAACAATCACTCGTGTCCAAACTTTTTGATGTCGCTGGCGGGCAGCACTCACGACTTATGTCACTGAGCGCTGCATACTGTGACACTGTCGTGTGGGAGAGGTCTGTCAGCTCTGGACCCTCCTGTTCTACACCCAAGCGCCCGGTTCCGAATGAGGAACCCGCGAACTACGAGGAGCCATCCAGCGCCGTGGCCCATGTCCTAAGCCTGTCAAACCGCTATGCAGCCCTCTCCACTGACATCCCGGCCCCCTCAGCAGAACCTCTGGACTCTGCAGCGTACTCTGCCGTTCGTGGATCTAAGTCCACTGCGAGAAAAACGCTCCTAAAGGAAGCCGTCCTCAGACGAAAGAGTGGTCATTCCCCTTCTCTGACCCCAGTGCATCACCACCACTTACCTCCACCGGGTCAACAGCAGCGACCCGAGCCTGCTCCTCACGCCGCTCCAGCGTCCCCGAGCACACAGCGTGGGTTGCCCGGAGCTGAGAATCAACACCCCCGCTCCCCTCCATGTGTTCAGCAGCGCCCTGGTTCGGACCCATCCCTGGATGAGCCCGCTGGTTCCGGCCATGGACACCGAGCGCCCTCTCCGCGGCTACGTCCACTCTTCGCCCCGACTACTTTGATTGTTGGAGATTCCATCGTGAGACACGTCCGCTTTTTTAACGCGGTCACTCAGTGTTTTCCCGGAGCCACTGTTCCAGATCTGCTCATCCGTCTCCCTCCTCTGCTTCAGTCCCTGCCTGATACCATTTCAAAGGTAATCGTGCATGTGGGGATCAACGACATGAAGCTGCAGCAGTCCGAGGTCACAAAGAAGCATTTTATGGATCTATTCCGCCTCCTCCAGTCCTCCGGGTTGTGTGTTTTTATCTCTGGTCCAGTCCCGACTGTAAACCGGGGAGACTGCTTGTACAGTCGCGTTGTGGCGCTGAATATGTGGCTCCAGTCTGCATGCAGCACTTTTAACTTTGTTTTTGTGAACAACTTTGGCCTGTTCTGGAAGCGTCACGTGGCCTATCGTCCAGACGGTCTGCACCCGAACAGATACGGTACCAGTTTATTGATGGACTTTTTACGCCATGTTGTTCAGTGCTCCCCGAGGGGGGCGTGACTGTTTACATCTGAGGCTTCTCGGCCCCCGGCTCTCCCATAGAGTACCTCTTGGGAAATTTTCCTCATTTGAGTATGTCTCTTTTAAAATAGAACAAAAACAATCTTCTATTCTTATTATTGTTGTGTACAAGCCGCCACAGTCATGTCATAGTTTCACTGATCATTTCACCGAGTTGCTTTCAGTTGTGTGCACAGACTTTGATAGCTTAGTCGTCATAGGTGATTTTAATATACATGTAGATAACGATGATGATAGATACGCGAAAGAGCTGAGCTCTGTGCTGGAAACCTTTGGTCTCACTCAGCATGTGAGTGGCCCCACCCATAGCAGAGGACACACTCTCGATCTGCTAATTACTAAAGGGGTTAATATCTCAAATGTAAATGTGGCCAATGTTGCTCTGTCAGATCATTTCTGTGTATTTTTTGATATGTGTCTCAATAGTAAAGCACGAGCTGAATCCTCAATTGTTAGAAGAAGAAGACACATAAACAAAAATACAGGTGAACTTTTCATGGGGATGATAAACTTTGATAACACGTTGTGTTCTACTGTGGATGAATTACTTAACTCTGTCACCTCTAGTGTTTTGGATGTTCTGGACACGATTGCTCCTGTAAAGGTCAAAATTGTTACAAATAAGCAAAAGGCGCCATGGACAAAAGCAGACTCTGTCAGGGCACAGAAGAGAGAGTGCCGGAGAGCCGAGCGGAAGTGGCGAAAGTCAAATCTCCAAGTTGACCATGAGATCTTCAAAGATGCATTGTGCAAGTTCAACAGTGTGCTACGTAGAACGAGGGAAACTTATTTTTCCGAAACAATCGAAGGTTGCAGTAACAATCTACGCGTTCTGTTCTCAACAGTAAATAAATTGACAAATCCCCCTGTTAAGATGCCATCAGAGCTTACCTCCAAAACCAAATGTAATGAGTTTGCAGAGTTTTTTAATGACAAAGTCCAAGGCATCAAAAATGCCATCACCTCCACAGTAGAAATTACAATCCAACAGCCAGTGAAGCTTTTTGGGCTGACACACTTTACACCAGTACAAAATGAAACTGTCCAAATGATAATTACAAGTCTGAGTTCTTCTACATGCAGCCTGGATGTATTACCTCCTAGATTTCTTAAATCTGTTCTGAGCAGTCTTTTACCTTCACTCACGCATATAGTAAATATGTCTCTTGAATCTGGAACATTCCCAATGGCCCTGAAAACGGCAGTCATCAGACCCCTCCTAAAAAAGAGGAGTCTGGATGCCTTGGCACTTAAAAGTTATCGGCCCATTTCAAATCTGCCTTTCATGGGTAAAATTCTAGAAAAAGTTGTCTATCAACAACTTACAGAATTTTTAATAATCAATCACTCTTTTGATATGTTCCAGTCTGGTTTTAGACCCCACCACAGCACAGAGACCGCTCTAGTGAAGGTAACAAATGACATCAGACTTAACACTGACGCAGGAAAAGTCTCAGTTCTTATCCTGTTAGATTTAAGTGCTGCTTTCGACACTGTCGATCATGGTATCCTCATTCAGAGACTTGAGGACTGGGTTGGTGTTTCTGGAACAGCCCTAAGCTGGTTTATATCCTACCTACAGGACAGAAAGTATTTTGTGGAGATCGGAAACTGTATCTCAGACCATCTGGCCCTAACCTGCGGAGTGCCACAGGGATCAATCCTGGGGCCTCTCCTGTTTAATATTTACATGCTGCCTCTGGGTAGGTTAATACACAGTAATAACGTGTCCTATCACAATTATGCTGACGATACTCAGGTCTATGTGTCCCTGACAGCAGGAGAACATGGACCAGTGGACTCGCTCCTTCACTGTATCCAACAGATCAGTGATTGGATGCAAAATAACTTTCTCCAGCTAAACACAGAAAAAACTGAAATTATTGTTTTCGGACCTCAGAAACAAAGAGAGAGCGTTATCTGCCACCTCCAGTCTCTCTCCCTAAAACCCTCAACTCAGGTCAGAAATCTAGGAGTAATAATGGACTCAGACTTAAATTTCAATAGCCACATATCATCTGTGACATCATCAGCTTACTTCCACCTAAGAAACATTGCTAAAATTAAAAACATTGTGTCTAAAGCAGACTTGGAGATTCTTATCCACGCATTTGTCTCCAGTCGATTGGACTACTGCAATGGCTTGTTCACAGGTCTCTCTAAACAAGCGGTAAAACAGCTGCAGTACATCCAAAATGCTGCAGCTCGAGTCCTGACTAGAACCAGGAAGTACGACCATATTAGTCCGGTCCTCAGGTCTCTGCACTGGCTTCCTGTGGCTCAGAGAATAGATTTTAAAGTAGCTTTACTTGTGTACAAGTCTCTCCATGGCCTCGCACCAGGGTACATCCGTGACATGTTGGTGCCATATGAACCAACTCGGGCTCTGAGGAGCACAGGGACTGGACTTCTGTTAGTGCCAAGAGTCGGAACTAGACATGGGGAGGCTGCGTTTCAGATTCATGCAGCTAGAGTCTGGAACCGTCTTCCCGAGAGTGTGAGACAGGCGTCTACTCTAGCAGTTTTTAAAACTGAACTGAAAACAGTTCTTTTTAGCTGTGCATACAAGTGAATGATTTTATATTTGTTTTTATCTTTAATCTTTTTAATGCGCTATGATTATTTATGATTATTTATGATTGTAATCCCTTGTGTGATTTTAATGTTTTACGGTTTTTAACTACTTGTGTGATTTTATATATCTTGTGCTCTTAATCTGTCTTTTTATGTTTACTTAAATTCTAATGTTTGATGATTTATGCATGATGTTATATGGGTTGTGAGGCGCTTTGCGTTGCCTTGTGTAGGAAAGGCGCTCTATAAATAAACGTTGATTGATTGATTGATAGCAGCAGCAGAAGGAGGAGCAACAGGAGGAGTAACAGCAGCAGCAGAAGGAGCAACAGGAGGAGTAACAGCAGCAGCAGAAGGAGGAGCAGCAGC